GGCTGAATACAATTAGAACTCATGTATCATAATACTGTTTAGTCATATTCTATTATTATAATAATTAGCCTCCCCTAGTTGAGTCTTTTAAATATTCTAATGGGTTTTCACTGAACTAATAAAATGAACTTAATTAAAATTATCTGAAACGTACCCAATCAAATGTGACAGCTTTTTAATATCATCAAATTATTTATTTACACAAATTATGATATTCTTTTAAAACCAATTCAGATTCCAAGAAATGCATTATAGGTTTATTTTGTGCTATTTTATTCTCAATTAGGTAAATCATGAAATTGCAGTTAATTTCATTTAAATAAGCTATTTCATATATACACACATTCAATTTAAATTAAAGGTGTCATTTTTAAAAAGGAGTACTTTTTTTTTTTTTTGGAGTCAGAGTCTCACTCTGTCACCCAGGCTAGAGTGCAGTGGCATGATCACGGCCACTGCAGCCTCAACCTGCTGGGCTCTCAGGCGATCCTTCCTCCTCGGCCTTCCAAGTAGCTGGAACCATAGGTATGTGCCACCATACCTGACTAATTATTTTTTTTTATTGTAGAGATGAGGTCTAGCCAGGTTGCCCAGGCTGGTCTCAAATACCTGGGCTCAGGCAATCCGCCTACTTCTGCCTCCCAAATATTACAGGCATGAGCCACTGTGCACATCTAAAAAAGGGGTACATTTTAAAGAAAGAAATTTTCAATGTTAAAAAGTTTAGCTATTTTACTAGAAGTAGCATGCACTGGTGACATGCCTGCCATTTCAGCTTTTCACTGTCATCAGTCACCTAATTTAGGAGTGAGGTGCTTTACATTTGTATTCATGGCTGATTGACATGGAGGCTCCCTCTCTTGTTGTATCCTTTAAAACTCAACGGTGTGCTCATATTAGTCACCTGCCTATTTGCTCACCAAGGTTTGTTTATCTCAGACTAAGAACTCAGCCTTTCAAGCCATGGTTAAGAGACATACATTAAAATGTAAAAGGTAAATACTCTGGAAGACATAATATGTTTATAAGTATACTAGTTTTAAATTATTAAGATCTTTTTGGGTAAAAGAAGGTTGTATTTTGAGTGTAGGTGGGAAGACATCTGATATTGGCCCCTGAAAAAGTTTAGACTAAAGCAAACCCTGGAAGGAAGAAGAAATGACTGAGGGTTTCCTTTTCAGGGCAGCTAAAATGAATTGAATAGAGTCAGGATATCTGGACAGAATCAAGAAAAAGAAAAAGAAAACATTAAAAGGTTAAAAAAATACTGTAAATGTTGATGAGCTATGACAAGCCTATAAAGCCCAATAACTAAAATTTGGAGGCATTAATACTTTTACGGAAGAGATTGGGTATGAGGTGCATGAAGCAGACAGTCCTAGTTCGTGTGGTGCAGTGGCTAACTAAGCACGGTAGGTAAAAAATTTAGCTTCAAGTGGATCAGACTTGTTTTTTTTCCTACCACTGTTGGCACTCGTCAAAATTCTCAAATCAGAGACCCCGCCTGATATATGGTGGTGGATTAATAAGTCAGAGCAGTATGGGTATGCTCATTGTTGGTGGGTTAATTAACACAAGGCTTCTGAGTTAATATATAGCTTATGTGAGTAAATGTAATTGCCTGTAAGAAATATTTTTGATGAACAAGTAGTTTCCTTTAACAAGCATATGTTACAGGACCTGGGTCATCATAAGCCTTGTAGTTAGAAGTCATATTGTGAGTTTAAACCAAAAAACTTTTATTTAAAATAGTTGAGTATTTAGATAGCCTTGTGTTCTTTTTTGGCAAACACAGTCATATTGGTAATCGTGATAGCAAGAAGCAAGGCATGAATTTATTTAAACTTAAATATGACCTTTGCCCAGCTGACTAGTCTTCCCAGTGCTCTTTATTGTACTCACATGGATGACAAACTACAGTAAACAAAAAGAGCAGCCAGTTTAGCCTTTTCAGTGCTGTGTCAACATCATTATTCTTTCTTAAAGTTTTCATCTAATAAAATAGCTTATAATGATATACTAAGGTCAGTCAAAGAAATTAAAGCCATTCTCTGCTTTCTAGCTTATTAACGTTATGATTTGGAGAAAGTGACTTTATCACACTAAGTCTTAGCTTTCTCTTTTGTAGAATGGATTTAACGATTAACTCTGAGGATTGTTATGAGGATTAGAGAGATGTCTGAGAGTTAGGCACATAGTAAGTCATCTGTCAACGTTAGCTAATACCATTAGTTCTTGATAGATTTTTACTTTTCTTAATTTTATTTCCCGGAATATATATTCATGTTCAAATAAAGCTCAGTGCAAATACTCACAAGGAAGATCTTTTCTACTGTTCTGTAGAGTTCAGTGGTCATCCCTTTGCTTGTCTCTAGTACCTTCTCTGCGCATTCATTGTAGTTCTTGTTACGCTGTCATAATTATTGCCTCACATGTTGTTGTTCACTGGGCTTGGAGGGCTGAGGTTACTTGATTTGTATCTCAGTTTCTTCACTTTCTATGGTGAAGATGTGGACTAAATACTTGCTGACTAAATGACTGATGGGCTGACTGAATAGTAAGTGTGTTATAAACCCAAAGAAGGAATTGGTAGTTTTTAAGATTTGTTCTCTATCCCAAATATTCTTCTATTTTTCTACAGTGTCTCTGGCATAGATTTATTTTTATCTTGCTTGTCCTTTGAAGATCACCTTTGATTTGAGAATTCATGTTTTTTTCTGTAAAATTCTCAGCTCTTATCTGTGAATGGTTTCTTTTTTACAATTATCTTAAATTTTTTCTTTTGAAACTTCTAGATGAATACTGAGGCCTATGATCTGTCCTTTATGACTTTTTTGTTGTTTTTTTGAGTTGGTCTCACTGTCATGGAGAATGGAGTGCAGTGGTGGAATCCTGGCTTAAGGCGCTCTTCACCTCTTGGGCTCAGGTGATCCGTCTGTCTCAGTCTACTGAGTAACTAGGATTACAGATGCACACCACTTGGCCTCGCTAATGTTTTTATTTCTTTTGTAGAGACAAGGTCTCACTATGTTACCTAGCTTGGTCTTAAACTTCTGGACTCAAGCAATCCTCCTGCCTTGGCCTCCTAAAGCGCTGGGATTACAGGTGTGAGCCATCATGCCTGGACCTCTGTGACTTTTAAAATTAATCTTTTTTTAGTTTTGTTGCTTCCTTATGCTGTATTTTGGAAGAATTCCTCAGTACTATTCTCCAGTTACCAATTCTGTCTTGAGCTGTTCAAGTCTGGAGTTTATCTTGGATGTTCAGTTTTTTTTTTTTTTAATCTCAATGACTATAGTTTTTATATCCAGGATTTTTAATTGGTTCTTTTCATATCCATCTGTTCTTGTTTCTTTTCTGCCTACCTTTATTTTGTTTTATAATTTCATATTCCTTATTGTGGATATGAGTCTTAATCTTTCTTAGTCATTTATTTAAAAATCTTTGTTAGAGGATTTTTAAAATCTTACAGGATATCAAGTCTATGGAAGGTCCTATAGAAACAGTGATTTCATTTGGAGTGATTTTATGTTTCAATTGTTGATTTTATTGACTTTTTTAACATCAGATTTTAAAAAATGTATTTAGAATTTTAATTTTTACCTTATTTTGAGTAGGAGGTTCCTCCCACAGCCACTCCTTTTCACTTTTCCTTTATGTTGATTTTTAGTTCTCTACCCTGCTCTCCTAGAAGCCCTCCAAGTACAGGCCTCATCAAGGTGGCTCAGAGCTCATACCCTTGGACAGACACAGGGTCTGAGCCAGCAGGTGGCTTAGTTTAGTTCCAAATCTTAAGGTTGCATGTGTGTCTTCCTGCTTTTAGACTCACAGTTGCAAGTAAGTTATAGCTCAGGAAGCAATTGGCAGCAGGGTTTTTTTTTGTTTGTTTGTTTTTGTCTTTTCTTCTCAGTCTTCCTTCACAAATGCAGCACCTCTAACATCAAAGAGTGAGACCAGCTGTGGTTCCCTAACACCTGAGAAGCTGAACCCTGGGCTGCCAGATCAAGAGCCCAGCAGTCCTTGGCTTCAGCCCTTTTTCACTTCTCTAATATTTCTGCTTCATTGAGTTTATCTAACCCTCTCTTTTCTTGTCCCACCCCAATTATACCCTCTCTAAGGTAATAGATATTAAGAATGTTGTGAGTACACAATCTGTTTGCCTGTCTTAGTCCGTTTGTGCTGCTATAACAAAATACCACAGAATGAGTAATTTCTAAAGAACAGAAATTTAATTTCATAGTTTTGAAAGCTAGAGAAGTCCAGGATCAAGGCACTGACAGGTTTAGTTGTCTGGTGAGGGCTGCTGTCTGCTTCCAGGATGATGCCTTGATGCTGCATGCTCTGGAGGGGAAGAATGCTGTGTCCTCATACGATAGAAGATACAAGGCAGAAGGCAAGCGAGAGAGACTAATGCTGGTGAAACTTCTTTTATGAGGGCCATTATTCCATTCATAAAGGAGGGGTCCACAGGGCCTAATCACCTCTTAAAGGCTCCATCTCTTAATACTATCAAATTTGCAACACCTGAATTCTGGAGGGGACACATTCAAACCATAGCTCTGTGTAGTTCTCTTTCTGCTTCTCTCCCCCACCCCCATACACATATATAGTGGTTTATTATAGCTTTGAATCATGCTATGCTTGTTACTTTAGCCATGTGTTAGGGTCATACATGTAGGTCAGTGATCTAGATCTAATTCATTCTTCTTTTTTGTATGCCTATATTATTTAATTATTACAGAGTATTATTGCTTTTAAAATAAAAATCCAATAATGTATCTAAAATGAAAAATGTAATGCCAATATATGATACAATTTCATCATATATTAATTATTTACTTCTTAAAATATAGGAAAAGGAGAATATTTATCAACAGTTCTTTATTTGCTACTGACTTTTTCACTGCTCACATTTCATTTTAAAAATAATTTTCTGTAAAATAAAAATTGTTTCCCTACTTTGTATTTTCTTTTCTAAACAAATTCAATGTATTTTTCAGGTTATTATATCCGGGAAAAGTGTAAGCAAGTTATAACATTGCTGATGGATGAGCAGTTGCTGAATAATGAGAGAAAAGTGGCATATCGGACTAGACAGCGTACCTCCTACTCTGTGACATCTGCTAAAAAATTACCTGGTACAGGTAGCTCACCAACAGCATGTGCTTCTGCCCCCACACCAGAAATTCCTGCTTCAGACAAGAAGCATAAGCTTCTTAAGGTTGCAAGGCTACGTAATAAGAGTGCGTATAACGAACATTGGCCTAGATATCATTTAAGAACAATGAAAAATATGAAACATTAGGTTCTAGTATTAAATTATTAATACCATATTAGAGCTACTACTACTATATTAGACTTCATACTGTGGAGAACAAAGGTAAGGATATTTGGTAGAAATTTTATGACTGTTTTCTGAATACAACTGTCTTGGATTCAAATAAAATGTTTTTGAGCTTAAAAGGCATTAAACTAGTGACTACCCTATTTAACATTTTGATTCAATTTTAAGATTGTATTCATAACTGGAATGTGAAGGAGTAATGTTTTTTTGAGACTAAGTGTCTGGGTATGTGTGCATGGTTGCTATTTGATCCTACATGTCAAGAAATTGAAATTTCCTGACGTATACCTCATCCTAAAAATGCTCCAAGAAGTCATCCAGCACAGTATTTTATATTCTTTCCTTTGCCTAAAACTTTTCTGCTAAATTTTCTGAAACTTAAAAGAATGTCATTTTGTCTTAACTTCTTCAGTACAAACCCCATTGTTAAGTTGTATATGAAGAATGGGGAGTTTGAGGAAGCAAAAACATTAATGAAATGTGACTTAGATAACTGACCCTTGAAAGGAACTAAGCTTTGTACCTTAAGTAAGGGGTACAGTAGGAGTAACATAGTACCAAGTATTTTCAGAGGCTTGTCTCCTAGATTCGTCATGTAAGTATATTGTTATGAACTGAATGTTTGTGTCTATCTAAAATTCATTTGTTGAAATCCAATCCCCAATGTGAATGTGTTTTGGAGGTAGGGCCTTTGAGAGGTGACTGGCCATGAGGGTGGAACCCTTGTGGTTGGGATTAGCGCCCTTATACTTCCAGACCCTGAAACTTTCTCTCCTCTTTCTGCTGTATGAGAGAGTAGTCTGCAACCTGGAAGAGGACCCTCTCCAGAAACTGTCCCAACCATGTTAGCACCCTAATCTTGGACTTTCAGCCTCCAGAACTGTGAGAAATACATTTTTGTTGTTTATAAGCCACCCATTCTGTGCTTCCTTGGAATAGCAGTCCAAACTGACTAAGACATCTATTAAGATCTCAAAAGAACCGCAGGTATTCAATATGCATAGATAATTTCAAATGTCAATTAAGTGAGAAAATTTAATAGTGATATCAACACAAACTAATCGTGCTAAAAATCATTGGAATACTTCTCTTAGTCAAGAGTTTTTAAGTGTTCACCCAACTTGTACTTGTAGATTGAGAAGACAGAAATACATTAAAAGAGGTGGCCATTGTAATTTATAGTAGCAAATACTACCTAAATACTTTTAAAAGTGGTGGAATTTATATCTTTAGGGTACCCATTTCTTTTTAAATAAATCTCCAAAAGAGACAGCAGCTCATTCTGAAATTTTCTCATATAAGCCTTGAATTCAAACTGACACTACAAACAGAGCAACAGAGTAAAATAACCAGTTATGACTCATCCAGAGTTTTTTCACCCCTTTTGCTACTTCTGTGCTAACCTTCTTGCTCTTCTTCTTCCATTTCTTTTCTCAAATCTTTCCTTTTTCATTGTAAACATATAATTATTGTATTTATTATTTGAAATTTGGGTGTAGCTACAACAAATTTGGAGCCACGGCAGGGAATAAAATAAAGTTACTTTTGTCATGAAACTAACATTCTAATGACAGGGACTAAGATATGTCTGCCACATAAACAATAGATATAAAATATGTCAGATATTAACAAGTCCTATAAAGAAAGGAAAGCAGGGTCAGGGGACAGAGTGAAGTGATAGGGGTGACTTTATTTTAGGTCATGTAGTGAGGGAAGGCCTTTTGGAAGAAGTGAAGGTATAAATGCAGACCTGAGTAAAGTGAGGGAGCAATCCATATATAGGCATACCACATTTTATTGTGTCCCACAGATATTGCATTTTTTACAGATTGAAAGTTTATGGCAACACTGTACCCAGCATGTTTATTAGTGGCATTTTTCTAACAGCATGTGCGTACTTTGTGGCTTTGTGTCATATTTTGGTAATTCTTAAAATATTTCAGACATTTTCATTATTATATCTGTCATGGTGATTTGTGATCAGTGATCTTAGATGTTACTATTATGATTGTTTTGGGATGCCACAAACCACACCCATAGATGATCAGTGAACTTAATTGATATTTGATGCTTGTGTCCAGACCCTGAAGCTCTCTCACCTCTTTCTGCTGTGTGAGAGAGTAATCTGCAACCTGGAAGAGGACCCTTCCCAGCTATTCTTCTGTCTCTTTCCTTTTTTGTGGGTCTTTCTATTCTCTGAGATACAACAATATTGAAATTAGGCCAGTCAATAACCCTACAGTGGCCTCCAAGCGTTCAAGTGAAAGGAAGAGTCAGGCATATCTCACTTGTTAATCAAAAGCTAGAAATGATTAAGCTTATGTTGAAAGCAAGAGAAGCCCAAATCTAGGCCTTTTGTGTCAGTTAGCCAACTTGTGAATATGAAGGTAAAGCTCTTGAAGGAAATTAAAAGTGCCACTTGAGTGAACACAGGAATGATAAAGAAAACAAAGCAGCCTTAATGCTATTATGGAGAAAGTTTGAGTAGTCTGGATAAATCTAACCAGTCACAACATTCTCATAAGCCAAAATCTAAACCAGAGCAAGACTCAACTATCTTCAATTCTGTGAAGGTTGAGAGAAGTGAGAAAGCTGTAGAAGAAATCTTTGAAGCTGGCAGAGGTTAGTTTGAGGTTTAAGGAAAACAGTTATCACCATATCATTAAAGTGCAAGATGAAGCAACAAGTGCTGATGTGGAAGCTGTAGCAAATTATCTAGAGGATCTAGCTAAGAGATCACTGATGAAGGTGGCTACACTAAACAACAGATTTTCAGTGTAGACAAAACAATCTTCTATTGGAAGAAGATGCTATCTAGGACTTTTATAGCTAGAGGAAAACTCGATGCCTGGCTTTAGAACTTCAAAGGACAAGTGACACTTGTTAGGGGCTAATGCAGCTGGTAACTTTCAATTAGTAATTAAAGCCAATGCTCATTTACCATTCTGAAAATCCTGGGGCCCTTAAGATTTTTTTCACAATATTACTGCTCACTGACAATGCACGTAGTCACCAAAGGGCTGTGATGGAGATATGCAAAGAGAATAATGTTGTTTTCATGCATGCTTACACAATATTCACTCTGCAGCCCATGGATTAAGGAGCAATTTTGACTTTTGAGTCTTTTTTGGTTTTTTTGAGTCAGGGTCTCATTCTGTCACCCAGGCTGGAGTGCAGTGGCATGATCATGGCTCACTGCAGCTTCAACCTCCTGGGCTCAGGCAATCCTTCTGTCTCACCCTTCCCAAGTAGCTGGGACTACAGGTGTGTGCCACCATGTCCAGTTTATTTATTTTAGTTTTTATTTTTTAGTGGAGATGAGGTCTTGCTATGTTGCCCAGGCTGGTTTCAAATTCCTGAGCTCAAGTGATCCTCCTGTCTCGGTCTCCCAAAGTGCTAGTATTAAAGGTGTCAGCCACCATATCTGGCCTCAAGTCTTATTATTTAAGAAATACATTTCTTAAGGCTATAGCTGCCATAGATAGTGATTCCTTTGATGAATCTGGGCAAAGTAAATTGAAAACTTTCTGGAAAGGATTCACCATTTTAGATGTCATTAAGAACATTTGTAATTTATAGGAGGGGTTCAAAATGTCAGCATTAAAAGAAGTTCACAAGAATTTAATTCCAACCATCGTGGATGACTTTGAGAGATTCAAGACTTCAGTAGAGGAAGTCACTGCAGATGTGGTGGCAACAGCAAGACAACTAGAAATAGAAGTGAAGCCTGAATATGTGACTGGATTATTGAAATTTCTCGAACTTGAAACAGATGAGGAGTTGATTCTTTTGGATGAGTGAAGAAAATGTTTTCTTGAGATGAAATCTCCTCCTGGTGAAAAGGCTGTGAACATTGTTGAAATGCCAACAAAGAATTTAGACTGTTACATAAATTTAGTTGGTAATGCAGTGGCAAGGTTCAAGAGGATTGACTCCAACTTTGAAAGAAGTTCTACTTGTGGGTAAAATGCTATCAAACAGCATCACATACTACAGAGAAAGCTTTTGTGAAAGGAGGAGTCAGCCAATATGGCAAACTTCACTGTTGTTTCATTTTAAGAAATTACCACCGCCACCCCAACTTTCAGCATCTACCTCCCTGAACAGCCAACAGCCATCAACATGGAGGCAAGACCCTTCACCAGCAAAAAGATTACGACTTCCTGAAGCCTCAGATGATTGTTAGCATTTTTTAGCAATAAAGTGTTTTTAAGTTAAGGGTTTTTTACATTTTTTACATTGTGTTTTTTAGACAAACTGCTGTTACACACTTAATAGACTGTAGTATAGTGTAAACAACTTTTCTATGCACTGGGAAACTAAAAACTGTGTGACTTGCTTTGCTGCAATATTTGCTTTATTGTGATGGTCTGGAATGAACCTCCAGTATCTCCAAGGTGTGCCTATATATTAGGCAGAGAAAATAGCAGGGGCAAATGCTCTGAAAAGGGAGCAAACTTGGCATGGTTAATTCTAAGCTTAAGAAATGAGTTTCTAAATCAATACAGAAGTAACTCAACTCTGATTTTACAATTCATATAAGAAACTAGTTTATAGTCACAGCTTGTGTTTTTTAACCTAAAATGATATTCTCCAGCTTCATGACATATCTTATTCATTTATTCACTACACTGAGCTCTAAATGACTTTTGGCTATTTTTGAAAAATCAATCCACCTTCAAATGACGTTTTGCTACAATTTTTAAAAATACCACAAACATATTGAGTACCTGTTTACTATATGCCAGACACTGTTGTAGGCATGTTAAGCAAATTGGATTGCTCTCTTAGAGGCTGTATTTTGTGTTGTACTGTGAGCTTTCAACTCTGTTTCTCAAAAGATGTTCCAAAAGAGTTTTGGTCAAGGATGACATCAATGAAGGAAATCTATAGTAAGAA